CCCCTCTGACCTCATCTCCTACTAACCTCCTCCAGACGCCCACTCTCCTCCAGCCACAGTGGCCTTCCCGTTGTCCCTCCACGCCACTGGCCACACACTGTCCCCTGTGCCTGGAATGCCCCCCCCCCAGATGTCTCCATAGCTCATGCCTTGCCCCCTTCAATTCTTTGCTCAGATGGCATCTTCTCAGCAAGGCCCATCCTGACCGCTGCATTTCAACTCCAGCTCTCCCTCAGCCTCCACTTTACCTTCCCCACAGCACTTACTTCCTTCTCTTATCCTATAATGCATCCATATTGTGTTATCCCGTGTCTCTCCGCTCATAGGAATGCAACCTCCACGAGGACAGGGCTTTTGTTGTTTCTTCAACCAGTGCCTTCCAGCGCCCAGAAGCATGTCTGGCAAAGGCAGACACTCCCAAAATATTTGTCGTAATATAAAGTTCTTGATATAGGCTCAGCATTCAGTACCTCCTGACATCCTTATTATTACCGCTATTACTATCACTGGAGGAGGATTAGGGAAGTCAGGAGAGGCGCAAAGGCGCTCAGACATTTTGGACGCTGTTGGGTTGAGTGAGTGTTCCCTGCCCCTCCCCTCCCTAGGCCCTTTCTCCCCTCCCCTGTCAAAACACGGCAGGCACCTCGCATGGCAGGGTCCGCGCCCGCTCCTCCACCCAGGCGCCCGCACTCTCCGCGCACGGCACCCAGCCGGCCCTCTGATCTCTTGAGAGGTGCCCCACGAGAGCTCCGGGCGTCTGTCCCCGTCTGGGGAGACGCTACAAGAGTGACGGGTAGGGTGGGGAGGGCGCCCTGGCCTGGGCAGCCCCCAGGAAAGGAGAAAGCAGCTCCGTGGCGCTGAGTGTATGTCGACCCGGTGATGGGTGACCTGGCGGCACGGTGGGCAGACGTCAGGTGGACAGAGACGGCAGAGCAGCTGTGGGCTCTCGGGGTGGAAGCCAGCACCAGTGAGGCAGGAAGCTGGTCAAGAGGGCAGGGCACGGGGCACAAGGCCAGGCTGGCTGCGGTGGGGGACGGGATGTGGGAGGAGATGGGCGGGCTGGTGCCCTGCACTGCAGCAGGGAGCTGGCTGACCCTGAGAAGGTCAATCCCAGAGGAAGCTGGGGGCCCTAGAGGCAGCAGTGAGGACCGGGAGGGGGCCCCTGCTGGGCAGCCAGCCCCCACCTCTGCCCCCTCCCACCAGCGTTCATGGGGGCATCAGCGGGGCCCCTACTTGTGCCCCCAAAGGGACGATCCTCAGTAGCCCGGAGGTCAGGGTCCCCTCTGATTACTGAGGGGGAGGGACTCGCCCTCTGACCTCTGGCCTGGATGCATTCTGGCCTCCGAGGTGCCTCCTCCCCACTGAGGAGGCATTCAAAGTCCTCTGCCATTTCCCTGGCCCTGCAGTCCTGCTTGGAATCCTTCTCTGAGCCTGGGAGGCAGACAACGCAGAATGGCTTACCCCACATCCTACCACCTTCAGACTTCTCCGACGGTGTTTAAAGTTAAGTGGTGAGACCATGTCTGTGAAAGCTTTTAAAGCTGTAAAGTGGCTCTTTGGATGGTAATGGTCAGCCTTGGTCTGCATTCTAGCCCCTCCACAGATGGACAGAGTGTGCGTCTGAAAGGCACCGTCTGACCCCAGCGCCGCTGAAACCCCTCCGATACCTTCCCACTTCACTTACAGCAAAACCCGAGCTCTCCCTAAGGGTCTCTAGGATGTGCCCCAGACTAACTCTTGAACCTTCCTCCAGGGAGCAGGCCACACCCTTCTTCCCATTCCTCGAAGGCACCCAGCTAAGCCCATTCTCCTCAGGGCCTCTGCCCAAACTCGGATGATTGGCTTCTTGAGCTCACATACCACTTCCTGCCAAAGCCTTCCCTCACCAAGCTCCACCAACCCCCTCGACACTGAGTTTCCTTTCTGCTGTCAGTCTCTCCCTGCACTCTGTCTGCCCTTCAGGGCCCAGGCCTTGTCTCCTTTCTTTCTTTCTTTCTTTTTTTTTTAATTTTTTTAATGTTTTATTTATTTTTGAGAGAGAGAGAGAGAGAGAGAGAGAGAGAGAGTGAGTGGGGGAAGGGCAGAGGGAAAGGGAGAAACAGAATCTGAAGCAGGCTCTAGGCTCTGAGCTGTCAGCACAGAGCCCGACGCAGGGCTCGAACTCACGAACCGTGAGATCATGACTTGAGCTGAAGTCGGATGCTTAAGCGACTGAGCCACCCAGGCGCCCCTGCTTTGTTTATTTTTGTAGCCCCAGTATTAGCACAGCACCTGCTGCTACTAAGGAGGAGTGAACAAGTGTTTGTTGACTGACTGACTGACTGAATGGCTGGCTAATGAATCCCTATTCCCAGTGTGTAGCACTGAGATAATAGCAAGAGTTACTTCCTGACGGCTTAGCTTGTGCCAGGAACTCCTGCAAATCCTTCCCAGGTATCATTTTCATTTTCAGTCTTCATAATCACCCAATGAGAGAGGGGCTATTATTACCCCCTCCCGAGAGGGAGCACTGATGAGGACACGGAAAGAGGTTAGGTGACTGGCCTGGGGTCTCCCTGCCACTTAGCAGCAAGGCTGGAAACACAGACAGGACATGGAGGAGCTAGGGCGGTACAACTTCAGCACCCACCTTCCTAAGCTCTATGCTAGGCTGCCTGGAAAGCCTTGAGCTCTAGCGAGGTGGCCGCTGAAGGGGTCCAAGCACCAATGGCTGCCTGGACCGCCCAACGTTTAGGTCATTGAGCATCGTTTCTGTTCCAGTCCAGTCCAGCCCTGTCAGCTTCTACCAGGAACCTGGGAGAAGGAGGTGGGGTGGTGGGACCCCAACTGCTCTACTCCCCAGTTCTCCGCCCTATGGCTATGGGCAGGGCAGCTGGGATTTGAGGCCTGGAC